CCCTCAGGACGTCTTATGGGGCTTCCGGGAGTGTGAAGCCAGCATCATGAATCACGCAACGGCACAAACAAAGCTCACGTGCCAGCATCTCTGCAGCAGGGAGTAGGGGAAGCAGCAGCAGAATAATACAGAACATATCCTGGGCTGAGGCCCAGGAAAAAGAAGAAAAAAAGCAACAAGCTGAAAACAGCAGACAAAAACCAGGAGGTAGCCCGGCGGCTTGCTCATGTAGCTCGTATGTGGTTGGGGTTCGGAGCAGGCCTCGCTCCTTGTCTGCAAGAGGTCCCTCACGAGCACTGCACAATCCCCGACTCTCGCCTGGCTCTTCTGGAGTGCTTGGCTGCGCGATGCAACGACTGCTAAAGATGGTTATAATGACTCCTGGGCCAACGGGGAAGAGGCTCGGCTCAGCTGCGTTTCCCACTCAAAACTAACAAACTAGAGCGTGCCCCCGCCTCCCCCCCCCCAAAGCAGATTCCATAAATTACTGCTCCATTTAATGGTGTTCTGAAAGTCTACGATGCTACTTCCCAGGGTCCTTCAGGCGAGCACTTTTGAACTCCGTGTCTCTTCTCACCAAGAGGGCTTCTGTCCCTTCAGTGCCTAAGAGGGTTAAGTAGGAAGTGGTTGAACCCCTGGCACACGTACTTATTCCCTCAATAGTGGAAAACGTTGCCTTGGAATCTCATTCTCTGGAGGTTTTTAACAGAGGCTATATGGTCATCTGTTGGGAGGGCTTGGATTGGGTATTCCTACTTGTAAGGATGGAGGGGGGCTCAATGGTCCTTGTGGTCCCCTCCAGCAATCTATATATATAAAAATGCTCTGTGCATAATGAGTTCCTTAAAAACAAAAGAACCAATGAACGAAATTTGGCAACCAAATTTGGCAACAAAATGTCTCACTACACAAGGAGTGACCATCACTCAAAAAATTATGATTTTGTCATTTGGGAGTTGTAGTTGCTGGGATTTATAGTTCACCTATAATCAAAGAGCATTCTGAACTCCACCAACAATGGAATTGAACCAAACTTGGTACACAGGACTCCCATGACCAACAGAAAATACTGAAAGGGTTTGGTGGGCATTGACCTTGAATTTTAGAATTGTAGTTCACCTCCATCCAGAGAACACTGTGGACTCAAACAATGATGGATCTGGACCAAACTTGATACTCAATATGCCCAAATGTGAACACAGATGGAGTTTGGGGGAAATAGACCTTGACATTTGGGAGTTGTAGTTACTAGGATGTATAGATCACCTACAATCAAAGAGCATTCCGAACCCCACCAATGATGGAATTGGGCCAAACATACCACACAGCACCCCCATGACCAACAGAAAACTCTGTGTTTTCTGGTGGTCTTTGGTGACTGTTCTGACACCCACCCACCCCCCCCCCACCCCCGGTGACCCCCCCAGGGGTCTTAACTTCCCAGGTTGAGAAATACTGCCTTAAGGCCATCCAGTCCAACTCCCTTCACCAGGGCAAGAAAACATAATTAAAGCCCTCCTGACAAAGGGACATCCAGCCATTCACACACACACACACACACACACACATGTATATGACATATGCAGTATCAAAGATTTGAAAGGGACCCCTAAAGAAGGACAATGAGATGTTGCATGTTCCAGAGTAGGCAAACCAGACAATCTCCACATCAACACTGACAAAGAAACAGCAAGAAATACTGTTTACCTACAGGCATAAAGACATTACATATATTAGAAACCAACACTTTCTCATTACTTTATTTTCCAGATCACCAGACTGGGCCACAGCAACGCGTGGCAGGGAACAGCTAGTAAATTCTATGATTGTATGACCAGAGCTTAGCCTCTCTTGGGAATAACACTCTCAGGAGAAGGGAGGCACTGCCACCAGACGGGCAAGGCACCTTCACATCCTGGAGCAATGTGGCTTCACAGAATGCGTGCTCCGTGGCCCATGTTGGGCCCAAGACCTGTGAGTTGCATATTGCAACTCACAAGTTAAAAGTGCCAGGCAAACAGAAGGAAAAAGACAAGCAGCTAAGGAGAGATTCAACAGCTTTGGCTCTTTCTTCATAAAACGAGGGGGGAAAGCCTTCTCCAAGAAAACAATCCAGTGATGAAATACCCTTCCATACAGCTGGGGAAAAGTAACTTTATTTGTATTGCAAACCCAAGAATTCCCTAAAATAATTGGTTGATCGCCGCCCAGGCAGGGAGCTTGGAAATGGTTGAACAGAAGCTCTCCAAAGCTTTATAGACCACCAGAAAACACAAAATTTTCTGTTGGTCATGGGGATTCTGTGTGGGAAGTTTGGCCCAATTTTATCGTTGGCGGGGTTTCAAATGCTCTTTGATTGTAGTTGAACTATAAATCCCAGCAACTACAACTCCCAAATGTCAAGGTCTATTTCCCCAAAACTCCATCAGTGTTCACATTTGGGCATATTGAGTGTCCGTGTCAAGTTTGGTCCAGATCCATCAACGTCCAAAGTGATATCTGGATGTAGGTGAGCTACAACTCCCAAACTCAAGGTCAGTGCCCACCAAACCCTTCCAGTATTTGCTGCTGGTCATGGGAGTTCTGTGCTGTAACACTGGTTCAACTCCATCACTGGTGGAGTTTAGAATGCTCTTTTATTGTAGGTGAACTATCAATCCAGCAACTACAACTCTCAAATGACAAAATCAATACCTCCCCCCCCCCCCCCCCCCCCCCCCCCCCCCCCCCGCAACCCCACCAGTATTAAAATGTGGGTGAATTAGGTATTTGTGCCAAATTTGGTCCACAGAATGAAAATACATCTTACATATCAGATGTTTACATGACAATTCATAACAGTAGCAAAATTACAGTTATGAAGTAGCAATGAAAATAATTTTATGGTTGGGGATCACCACTACATGAGGAACTGTATTAAGGGGTCATGGCATTCGGAAGGTTGAGAAACACTGCTTTAGGTGCTCAGCCAATTCTTAATCCATGTAAAATGCAGACGTGTGCTTTTCACCTTAAGAACAGACAAGCATCCCGAGCTCTGAGGATTACCTGGGAAGGAATCCCACTGGAGCATTGCGGCACACCAAAACACCCGGGAGTCACTCTGGATCATGCTCTGACTTACAAGAAGCACTGCCTGAATATCAAGCAAAAAGTGGGCGCTAGAAATAATATCATATGAAAGCTGACTGGCACAACGTGGGGATCACAATCAGACACAGTGAAGACATCTGCCCTTGTGCTTTGCTACTCTGCTGCTGAGTACGCATGCCCAGTGTGGAAAACATCTCACCATGTTTAAACAGTAGACATGGCTCTTAATGAGTCATGCTGCATTATCACAGGATGTCTATGCCCTACACCACTGCAGAAATTATACTATTTAGCCAGTATTGCACTACCTGAAATCCGCCGGGAAGTAGCAGCCAGCAATGCAAGGACCAAGGCATTGACATCTCCAGCCCATCCTCTATTTGGACATCAGCCAGCATGCCAATGACTTAAAAGGAGAAACAACTTCCTACAATCTACAGAGATACTCGCAGAAACACCTCAGCAAGCAAGAGTCCTAAAGTGGCAGGCTAAAACCCAGAACCTCAATCAGTGGCTGATATCGGATGAGAAATTCCCTCCTGGGCACACACAAGACTGGGCAACTTGGAAGGCGCTGAACAGGCTGAGCTCTGGCACCACGAGTGCAGAACCAACTTAAGAAATAGGGCTACAAAGTGGAGTCCACAACATGCTAGTGTGAGAAGAGAAAAACCACAGACCACACACTACAATGTAGTCTGAGCCCTGCCACATGCATAATGGAAGACCTTTTTATAGCAACACCAGAGGCACTCCAAGTGGCCAGCTTCTGTCAAAGGACATTTTGTACAATACCAAGTTTTTAAACTTTGTGTTTTTAAATACATTACAACTGTATCCTCGGTTCGCTTCTGACATGATAAATAAATAAAATTGGTTGATACTTTGTGGATACTTTGTGGATTCTGGAAGTGGTAGTCCAAAAAAAACCCTTCTCTCAGCCTTCAGGAAGGGCCTGAGGCTGTTAGGAATGGTGGGAGTTGAAGTCCAAAACATCTGGAGGGCCCAAGTTTGCCCATGCCTGGTTGAGACAGCTGCATATTCCCTAACCCAGTGTACAAAGGTTGAAAGCCTCTCATATTGAAATCTAGAAAGCATCCAAGAAGGTGGGCATTCAGGTCCAAACCTATTGCTCTCTACTCTTGGCTTAAAACCCTCCTACTAGATACATCCTTTGTTCATGTCCGGCATTTAGTTTTAAAGTTTTAACTATTATGTCTGGCCCAGCCATAGGTTTTTAAATTCTTCTGTGTTATTGTCCATGTCTGAGTTATACTAATTGTATTGTTTATTTTGCTTATTACTTGTTGTTTTTACTATTGTTTGTTGATTTATCGATGTGTTGTTGGGCTTGGCCTCATGTAAGCCACTTGGGGAGATGGTGGCAGGGTATAAATAAATTATTATTATTATTATTATTATTATTATTATTATTATTATTATTATGGTAATTTCGAGCCACCAGCAACAGATTCTCCCTCCCCTCCATGCCAATTCTGATGTCATTTCAGCACCTCTGGATTCCTGCGTTTTATTCATTGCTTTTATCCCTCCCTGTGGTTCTACAGTTCATTTTTAGAATATTTTTTGCTTTCATTCTACTGCTTTTATAGTTTATTGTTTCTGTGTGAGCCTGAATAGTGTGCCTGAAGGGCAAGGAAAACAAAGACAGAAGGGCTTGGGGATGAATGCCATTCCTTTCCAAAGTACCCTAGCTTGAATAGTGTTTGGTGTGAAGGATGTGGCAAGGTAGACCAAGGCTTTCATCTTCTTTCGGGGGGGATGCAGGAGCTGCACGGTTTGCATGCAGAACAACAGGGACCATCTCTGAAGAATGGGCAATGCCTGAGCTGCTTTAGAGATCTCAGCATAAACAGGCAACTCCACCAAGGACAACTTCTCCTTACCTACGAGAGTCGAGAAGGGGTCACGATTATATTTGCGCCTGACGGCGAGGATCTCTGGGAGATGGCGGAAGACAGAGATGCTGGTGATCAGGTGGATGCTGATGTCATTGACCATGCTGGCCAGCTGGGCCAGTGTTGGAGAAAACTCCACCTATGAGAGAGGAGTCTGGTAGGTCAGCAGAAAGAGGAATGGCCAAAAGAAAGATCCCACAGAGAAAGCCAGACTAAAGTCCTAGGCAAAAGGACTTCAGAAGCAACGTTTCCCACACACTCCCTTCACAAGTCATTTGAATTTGCTATTCCAAAATGGAAGGTGTTGGTGGCAATACATGAATCTTCCTCCCGCAACGTGAAGGCAGATAGTGGGCACCTCAAGGCTTACCTGAGGGGTCTGAGGATAGTTGTCCTGCAGAATCACCTTCACCCTGAAGAGCGGGTTGGGGCTTGCCTTGCCATCCCCGTTGATGGCTTTGGAGAGCTCCAAAAGGGACCACTTGACGTTCAGTCGCAGGGCCTCCTCCATCATTTTGTCCATCTTGACTGTATAATTAAACCAGTGTTGTTGGACCTTTAGGGAGAGGCAATGGGGTACGGCTGCTGTCAGGAAGACCATCGCAAAGCTCCACACAGTACGCTTTCCTCAGGCATCAAGTCATTGAGTAGGCCACTGGGAGAACAACCTATTCAGGATATCCCGCAATTCCTCCACATGTCCCTTAGCCCAGTGATGCTATGGGCAAATGCTGCCCATACCCACATTAACTAGAGAATTCCTGTTCCCGTGTTCCAGGCAACCTGCTCCTTCCAAAGATTCTCAAAACACCAAAGCTTCTCAGAACAACTACCATGTCGGACTACACAGAGAAGCCATTGAAATCCACAAGCATGTGGACAATTTCAACAGAAAGGAGAAAACCATGAAAATAAACAAAATCTGGCTACCAGTATTTAAAAAAACTCTAAAATTACAACAGCAAAACAACAGAAAGTAAACAATCAGACACATCTAATCACCTCTCAACAAAAGATTGCCCCAGGCACTGCCAGGCCATCAAATGCTAATCAAGGTGGTCAGTTGAAAAATTCACACCTCACTCCAACAGACAAGAGTTCTTTGTCCCACCCTGGTCATTCCACAGACATATAAACCCATTTTCCTAGTTCCAACAGATCTCACTACCTCTGAAGATGCTTGCCATAGATGCAGGCGAAACGTCAGGAGAAAATGCCTATAGAACATGGCCATATAGCCCGAAATAACCTACAACAACCCACTTCTCAAAATTGCTACATTTAGTCCACAGAGCTGCCCGTCTCAGGTAAGGACTACACATCAGGACTTAGGTTTTCCCCTTTCAATAAGTCCAGTCGTGCCCAACTCTTGGGATGGTGCTCATCTCCATGTCTAAGCCAAAGAGCCAGCGTTGTCCATAGACATCTCCAAGGTCATGTGGCCAGCATGACTGCCTGGAGCACAGTTAGACTTAGGAAAGTAACTTTTCCAGGTAACAACAAGGCTGGTGATTCTGAAAGCTGTGGCCCAGAAAAATAACTTCTCTGAGTACTAGGAGATACCACTCACCTCTGGCCCATCATTCTTGAAGACTTCGTACGTCTGCCGCATGATAGCGATGCAGTCTTCATGTAACTCGACCAGCTTATTCTGCACAGAATCACGGTGGTCCTTCTGGTCCTCCTCAAACTCCAAATCATTGTAGATCCTCTTGCCAGTGATCCGCACCAGCAAAGCTTCACTCATCTGTTGGGCCTTGCGAGCAATGGTCAAGGTGGCTGCCTTGTATTCATTCACAATGGTTTGCACCTACAAGAAAGCAGAAAGAGAGGCAAAGCAGCTCAGGGAGCAAGAAGGAGCGAGCAAGGAGAGAGGCTCCCAACTGGCAGCAAGATCTGCTGCACAAAGTGGTTGTGGCAACCAAGACAAGACTCCCTGTCGAAAGAGGAACCAGGTGGGGGGCAGCCTAGGGAAGAAGCCCCCAGCCATATGGGAACCGGAAGAAAAGAGCAGGGCAAGAGCACATTCCAGCACCACTGTGAACATCAAAGGAATCATTCAGCCAGGAAGATTTAAAAAATCAATGAGAGGACAACTTAAGAGATGGAGGCTTCTCCTGAAAGAGAAAGTGGGCCAGTGACAATGAAATATTGGGCCAATCTGGACCAAGAGACTGCAGCTCCTTTTGCAAGTTCTGCAGTATGGATGAAGTCCAGAGGAGCTCCCAACTCTAACCTTATTGAGTGGTGACACTTTGGATGACCAAATCCCAACCCAAGTGGAACTTTCTCAAATGAAAAGTCTGGTATGGTCAAAGGTGGCCCTTCAAGTGGTTTTGGACTTCACCTCCCAAGGCTTATCACCACTGACTATTTATTTATTTTTATTTATTTGCCATACTTGTACCCCGCCCTTCTCCACCGTGACAGGGGGACTCAAGGCGGTTTACAATGGCACAACGTTGTGCCTCAACACAATCACCTAAACATTTCAAAAATTGCAACATATTAAACAGAGTTAAAACAGATTTTAAACTTAGAAAACACACCAGCCAAATTCAGGGTCTGAGTCTGTTCCCAGGTCAATTGCACAAGGTTTCGATTAAAAAATACTGCATTTATTATTTACTTTATTTATATACCGCTTTTCTCAGCCCTCAGGCGACTCAAAGCAGCATTGTCTTAGTTTCTGAACACCTGCTCACAGAGCCAGGTTTTGACTCTTTTCCTAAAGGCTCAAAGGGAGGGAGCTGCTCTGATGTCGCTAGGGAGGAAGTTCCACAACCGAGGGCCACCACTGAGATGGCCCTGTCTCTCATCCCCGCCAGTTGTGCTTGTGAGGCCAGTGGGACTGAAAGCAGGGCCTTCCCAGAAGATCTTAATTTATGTGCTGGTTCGTGTGGGATGATACATTTGGACAGGTAGCCTGGTTAAGGCTGATGGGAGTTGGATGGCTACTTTTGCACAACCCAACACTAGAGTTTTAACATCTAGAGAAACTCAGTGAGCATCATGCCACAGGTTCACTGCTGGACAGGTGCAAAAATGATGAGGGAGGAAGAGGTTGCAATCTGAAGCAAGCAAGAGATGACTGTTTCAAATCCAATTGTGCCATGAGAGGAGGTCCACAAGCTATTCCTAGTGTTCCTCCAAACTTTTGGAGTGTGATGGGGCCAAAAAAGGTGGAGATGGCTGCAGTTTCCATCCTTCCCTGTACGACCAGATCCCAGTGTCCTGCCAAAGGAGGAAGCCTGACCTTGCTAGCATACAACCGGCACTCGGAAATGAAGACCGTGCTCGCCCCTTTGAGGGACCAGTGGAGTTTCTTTAGGCCAGGCTGGATTTTTCTGTCTAGATAGCGGATGCGCTCCCGGAAGAGCCCCCTCTCCTCTGCAGACAGCATGCTGATGATCCTGGGAATAGGAAGAGAAGAACAGGATGGGAAGCTTCCTAAAGCACCAGAGCTTGGAAACGTTACTGTTTGGATCACCATTCCGAGAATCCCTCAGTCTGCATAGCCATATTGGTTGCAGGATTCTGGGAAAGGAACACAATCTAGCTTTGAAGCTGTGCCTCTGGATGGCAAGCAAAACCAAGCCCAGAAGGTAGGGGCCTCCACTCAGGAGCCTCCCCTGCACGAACCAGGTGGGCCTGATGGGAACAGGCGCTGAAGGCTGCCCATTTCTCTCCTGCAGCACCAGCTTGGTCTCCAATTAAATCCTGAGTGGCAAAAAGCCAGCCTAGAAGAAATGCTTACACTTGTGTCATGATAAAAATACAGCTGCCAAGACAAAGCTCGTTGCAAACAACACTTTCACAGCGGAGAAACGCCTCCGTGTCACACTTTGGAAAAGGTTGTGGAGAAAGCAGACAGAGCCCCCTCCCTGCCAAACACACCTTCGGGAAACTCAGCCAGGAAGCCAATCATTCTTTTGGTCTCTGTTCAAACCTGGCAACCACCTGGTTCCCTGCATAGAAGACCCCTGTGCTGGAGAGGCACAGCTAGAAGAGGGATGGCCAGTGGCCCAATGGGTACACCACCTCCATGGGAGGAGATAGGCAGCATTTTGGCTGACCGGAAGCAGGTCCTGCTGTGAACTGGTTTTGGCCCATAAGCCAGACAGGGAGAAGACCCTTTCCTCTTTCATAGAATTATAGAATCATAGAGTTGGAAGAGACCTCATGGGCCATCCAGTCCAACCCCCTGCCAAGAAGCAGGAATATTCCATTCCTCCTCTCCAAACCATCTTCTCGGTCGCATGAAACGAAGATACGGCGATGTAGGCCAAATCCACACCCAACAATTTCACTTGTTGCTTTTCATGTGGTGAAGGAGGCAATTCCCCCAACCCCACAAAATATGTAATGGATTGGTATTACATTTTCCCAATTAGCTAAAACTGATTATTTATTTCCTGCAAGTCAGCGGCTCACAGACCAGCATCAACTCATATGAGTAGCTCTGATTCCAATTGTGGCATTCCAGGTGGCACAATGGGTTAAACCCTTGTGCCGGCTGAACTGCTGACCTGAAGGTCAGTGGTTCAAATCCTTGAGATGGAGTGAGCTCCCACCTGTCAGCTCCAGACTTCATCCTGTGGGAGAAGTCTCCCACAGGATGGTAAAAATATCCAGGTATCCACTGGGCAAAGTCCTTGCAGACAGCCAATTCTCTCACACCAGAAACAATTTTCTCAAGTAGCTTCTGACATGCACGCACACACACAAACCCCTAGTCCAGTGAAAGGAAGAACACTGAAGCATGCAAGAGAACACAGGAAGCGTGTCAAGTGAAATACATCATTTGTTGCCTTTCATGGCCTAAGTAACTTAATTAAGCTGCTCATTGTTATTGGAGGAGAAAGCAAATTGGCCGTTAGCTGTAGCACGAGGGTAAGGACCCGGTGACCTTACCTGTCGGCACGGGAGTGCAACTTCTATCATCCCTCATTGTTGCCTGTTCTACTAGGGCTGATGGGAGTAGCTGGTCAACAGTGTCTAGACCAGGCATGGGCAAACTTGGGCCGTCCAAGTGTTTTGGACTCCAACTCCCACCATTCCTAACAGCCTCAGGCCCTTTCCTTTTTCCCCTCAGCCGCTTAAGCAGCTGAGGGGGGAAAGGAAGGGGCCTGAGGCTGTTAGGAATGATGCGAGTTGGAGTCCAAAACACCCAGAGGGCCCAAGTTTGCCCATGTCTGGTCTAGACAGCTGCATATTCTCTAACAGTGTACAAAGATTGAAAACCCCTCATATTGAAATCTAGAAAGCCTCCAAGAAGCTGGGCACGCAGGTCCAAACCTGTTGTAATCTCGAGCCACCAGCAGCAGGTTCTCCCTGAGGTTACGCAGGTCCTCTCTCCGTTCATAGACCTCAACCACGTAGTGCGGGATCTCAAACAGCACTCTCTCCCAGTAGTGGATTTCCACAAATAATTTCAGCAAGTGCCTGGAGATAGAAACAGAAAGGACAAGTTATAGTAAGGAGTCAGCCTCCCACCTACTGCCTGGACCCATCTGCTCCGGGGGACAACGGACTCGTCTCTCACTTGTCAAAATTGATGTCCAGCATGCCAGGCTTCTCGCTGCTAAGGATCAGGAGAGGGGTGTCCAGGCGCTTCAGGCAGTCCTTGTCCAAGGTCTGGGTCCATTCCTGGAAGGTCTTCCTCTCAATCTCATCCAGGGCCTGCACAAGCTGTTGATAGTTCTGGTAGCTTTCTTCTCCAGCCCCAATGTGGGGGATGAAGTGGGCAGTGGAAAGGCTCTGCAAAGAGAAGAGAAGAGAAGAGAAGAAAAAGCTGGGAGGGGGGCTCTTCTCAGAAGAGGCTTGTAGTGAAGGAGAGGGGAGAAGAGCGCTTCTGTCAATGACACTGCAGCCGATTTTTCTCAGCAGCTTATGAAGACAGCCAGGGAGGCATGTCAAGTCAGAGAGAGATAACTTTCTTCATAAGGAACACATAGGTCTGTCTGTTGGTGTATATCAGAACAGGGAAAATTACAGACTGAGAAAGGGTAATAACCACCAGATAGGGTGGGATATTTGCAGATCTATTTTGGTTTTTTGTTTAGTTATGTATGAGTATCTATGTTTTACATAAAATAAACAAAAAAACAAAATAGATCTGCAAATATCCCACTCTAGCTCGTTTTTTATTTTTATATTATTTATTATTTTATTTTATTTTTATTATTTTATTATATTATTTTTATTCTTATTTATGTATGAGTATCTATGTTTTAAGGAGCCCCCAGTGGCACAGTGGGTTAAAACACTGAGTTTGTTGACCGAAAGGTCACAGGTTTGATTCCGGGGAACGGCGTGAGCTTCCGCTGTCAGCCCTAGCTTCTGCCAACCTAGCAGTTCGAAAACATGCAAATGTGAGTAGATCAATAGGTACTGCTGCGGCGGGAAGGTAACAGTGTTCCATGCAGTCATGCCAGCCACATGACCTTGGAGGTGTCTATGGACAACGCTGGCTCTTCGGCTTAGAAATGGAGATGAGTACCACACCCCAGAGTCAGACATGACTGGACTTAATGTCAGGGGACTACCTTTACCTTTTTACCTATCTATGTTTTACTTTTGCCTTTTCGTTACTTTTAATAGTTTCTCAGTTGTAACTTTGTAGTAGCAGATAGTATGTTGCATAGTAGTGTTTCATTTTTTGGATGATCATAAAACATAAAACAGAAAAATTTGAAAAACTTGCACCAAACACTGAAACAAAATTGACATATAGTAGCAACAGAATGTAAATCAAAACTCAAGATTGAAAGTTGACTGGGTCAACCTTCTGCCAGAAGAGATGGTCTTCAATTGCATTTTAAATTCCAACACCTCGTTTAGCTGTTGGATCTCTTCCTTTGGCAGGTCGTTCCACAGTGGTGGAGCAGCTGGTGAAAAGATCCTCTGGGTGATGGTCACCAGTTGGGTTCTGTCTGGTTGGAATAACTGTAAAGCCCAGAGGATCTCAGTGTCTAAAGGGGCCATAGATTGGTTGGGAGTAGGCTATCATGTAGGAAAGCTGTACCTAAACCATGTAGGGCTTAAAGGGTTAAAACCAACACTTTGTACTTTGCTCAGAAACTAATTGGCAGCCAGTCAAGTGGCATTAACACAGGTGTAATATGCTCACTCCTGGATGTTCCTCTGGCTGCCATGTCTTGAACGAATTTGAGTTTCTAACTCAGTACAGAGATAACCCAATGTACAATGCATTGCAGGGGTCCATCCTTGAGGTTACCAGTGCATGCACTACCATCTTTAGGTCCCCAAATTCTAGGTGATCCATTAGTGGATCAGCCAAAGCTGGTAGCAATCCCTCTTGACTGCTGCATCTATCTGGGCTGACCTTTGGGGAGATGAATCCAGGAGCCCTTTTCCCAAGCTGTGAACACAGTTTTTCAGGGAAAGTTTAATCCCGTCCAAAATAGGTTGACACACCTCCATCCCTAGGCTGGGACTCTTGATGGGAAGAACCTCTGTCTTGTCTAGATTCAGTTTCAATTTATTTTCCTCAACTAGCCCACTCACTCTTCCAGGCATTCATTCAGAGGAGACACGCTATCCTTAGCTGAGGCTGTTTTTGAAGGCATGAGGTGGGCACCATAGCAGTGCCTCTCCAAGATCTTTCCCATCATCTGGAATAACCAAGGGACTCTCCTCCAGAGACATGATTCCTCCTGCCCAGCTCAAACTGAGACCTCAGCTATGGAATGTGTCCAGAGGAGGGCGACTAAAATGATCAAGGTTCTGGAGAACAAGCCCTATGAGGAGCGGCTTAAGGAGCTGGGCATGTTTAGCCTGAAGAAGAGAAGGCTGAGAGGAGATATGATAGCCATGTATAAATACGTGAGAGGAAGCCACAGGGAGGAGGGAGCAAGCTTGTTTTCTGCTTCCTTGGAGACTAGGAGAACAATGGCTTCAAACTACAAGAGAGGAGATTCCATCTGAACATGAGGAAGAACTTCCTGACTGTGAGAGCCATTCAGCAGTGGAACTCTCTGCCCCGGAGTGTGGTGGAGGCTCCTTCTTTGGAAGCTTTTAAACAGAGGCTGGATGGCCATCTGTCAGGGGTGATTTGAATGCAATATTCCTGCTTCTTGGCAGGGGGCTGGACTGGATGACCCACGAGGTCTCTTCCAACTCTTTGATTCTATGATTCTATGGTGTATTCATAGACTGTAGTTCCTTTTCCATGATATGCTGAAGCCCTGTCTGTGTGTACTGGGAGAATCTAGGACTTGCTCTCATAGAGATAACATTTTCAAGGCTATTTAATGCTAATCAAGGCGATCAATTGCAACATTCACACTTGCCTCAAACAGACAAGAGTTCTTTCTCCCACCCAGGACATCATTCCACAGATATATAAACCCCATTTTCCTTGTTTCCAATAGACCTCACAACCTCTGAGGATGCCTGCCATAGATGTAGGCGAAACGTCAGGAAAGAATGCTTCTGGAATATGGTCAGACAGCCTAGAAAACACAACAACCCAACATTTTCAGAGCCTGGCTGAAATAAAGTAATGTACAGATACATGTTCTCCTCTTTCCTTGTGATCTTCATGATATAAACAGAAGGCGGCTGACCAACCTTCCTACCATGGATCAAAGCAACATCACTGTTCTTGTGTGTTCTGGCAATTTTGCGGTCACATGTGAATGTGTAGGATTGCGGAGGCTGTTACAATAGCTCTTACACCAATATACACTGTTCTTGTTCTCCTGTGAGACAGGTCTTCACGTGTGGAAATGAAAGGGAAGCAGGTGGCACTAGTAATCGGTAGCTGATGGGGAGCTCACCTATTTATCTTGGATCCTCGCATCCCCCCGGCTCCATCCCCTGCGTCTTCAGCTCACTAGAACATTAGTTCACTGCTTGGTCAACAGTGGGCACGAAGGAAATGGGAAAAATAAAATCCTGGCTGCCCATTAGGCTCTTTTCAGTGGGTGTAATAAAGAAAACAACATATGCCATCTAGAAAAATCAGGCCAATTACTTGTGCCAAAATAATATTTATATGTATTTAAAAGACTTCTTTCCATTAGCAGAACTGAGTCAGCCATGACAGGTTTGCCCAGCATGAACTCCCAGTATATGCTGGCTGGGCTCCAGTGCAGAGGAGTGTTAGTACTGGTGGCCTTTAGAGGACCGCTAGAGGGTCAATAACCAATGAAGACAGAGGTAAACCCATCTCTCCTCTTAATCCATAAACATATTCTTGTTCCTTCCACAAATACTTCTTCCATCTTGATATTCTTTTGGGGGGGGGGGGCTATTTCCGACCTCTTCGTTTGGCAGCCAGTTGGGTGAGTTTCCCATATCATATCTCAATCTCACACCCAACCGAGCTCCAACAATCTTCAGATTCTGCCTCCTACAAATCTGCCTGGAAGAGGAAGTTCGTGCCTAGACAACCAACCACTCAGAAGTATGAAGTACACCAACATACATTTTCCTGGCCAAAAGTGGCTTTCCGACACTCAGGATATCCAAGAATAACACATGGATGTGAATGTTGGGCAGTATGCATATATCTGGACGTTTTTGAGGAAATAATTCTGCACAGAATTATGCTCTTGACACAACAATGGTGAGGTTTTGTGAGAAGAACCCTTTTTTTTTTGCACAAAATCCCCAGTTTCCAGAGAACTAAATTATAAAGGTTTTCTAAATACAAGACTGCTGTATTTGCACAGTCCCATCACTATCAATAGCGTGTTACGTGAGGGCACATGACAGAGAATTCTTGATGGCTACACCCAGCTTATGAAACTTGAGTGTAATTCACCTCTTTGCTTTTCTTCTGTTTGAGAAAGGTCTTGTTATTTGGACAGCCAATAACCGTCTACTGCAGAAAGCCCTTTTAGCAGAGGACATTATACTTCCGCTCCCATCTTATGCTTTTTTTAATACTTTTAAATTGTTTTAATTCACTGTTTTATTTTAATATGACAAGTTAATAGTTTTTGAATTGTTCTTCAGCATTGCCACTAAAGGGTTTGTAGCAGTATTTTGTTTTAATTCATGTTGTAAACCGATCAGGGTTTTTGCACTGGGAGATGTGTGGGGCATTAAACAAGCAAATTAAGCAGTTCACCCAGGCTATAGTCTCAATAAATGCTGTACATTTGGTTGCTGATTATTTAATGGCTATTTACTGGCTACTGAAGCACACAACTCTCTTGCTGCAACAGCTCCACTGGCTACAACTCTGTTTGTGAGCACAAGAAAAAGTGCTGGTTGTGACCGGCGAAGCCCCACATAGCTCAGGCCCAGACGATCCGAAGGAGTATACAACCCCCCTGTTATGCCAGCTCAACTGGCTGCCCACCTGCTACTGAGCACAATTCAAAGTGCTAGCTTTAGCCTATAACATCCTAAACTAGTATTTCTCAACCTGGGGGTTGGGACAAAAGGGGGTATCAGAGGGGTCACCAAAGACCATTAGAAACCGTGTGGAAAGTTTGGCCCCCTTCTATCGTTGGTGGGGCTCAGAATGCCCTTTGATTGTTACTGAATTATAAATCCCAGCAAGTTGTTGTTGTTGTTCATTCGTTCAGTCATTTCCGTCTCTTTGTGACCTCATGGACCAGTCCACGTCAGAGCTCCCTGTCAGTCGTCACCACCCCCAGCTCCTTCAAGGTCAATCCAGTCACTTCAAGGATACCATCCATTCATCTTGCCCTTGGTCGGCCACTCTTCCTTTTTCCTTCCATTTTCCCCAGCATCATTGTCTTCTCTATCTTCTCATGATG